GTAGACGAGCGGCTTGCGGTGATGCCCTGAGGGTCCGCTCGCTATTACAGAGGATGGTAGGCACTGCCTCACAGAGGCGTGGGCGGCATCAGCGCTACTATCTAACGCGTTCTCCGTTGGGTCGTCAATGGGTGCACTCAGATTTCCCGAGTTACATAAGAAATTTGTCATCAATTGCTGCCAGTGTACCGCGCTCTCTTGGATCATGTTGTTGAACCGCAGGAGGGACGGATTGCAGCCCTCCGCAGCCTGCCACGTTCCTTCCTGCTGGTCTGCGTGGGCATGAAGAGAGGAGAGGTGCGTCAAGGAGTGCAGGACACAACAAGAGGTGCAAGTCCCCGCTCCTTCTGCCGCGTTGGTCAGTGCCGTATAACAGCAATGCATCAAAGGATCAGACTCGTCTTCCAATAGTGTAACATAGCAATTTCATCACATCTGTGGAGAGTAGTGCGGCGCGCTCTTGCTTCTCGCACGTCACCCGACCGCAGAGCAACTCGTTGGTGCCAGTACGGCTTGAAATGAGTGCTTTGCACGGGAGTGTGGAGGGGTGGGGGCGTAGGCACACGGTCGGGCTCAGATGTTCTTTCTCGATATTGTTTTCCATTCGCTGCTCACTCATGACAGGTGTCGGTGTGTCGCGATGCGAAGAGAATAATCATCACAATTCTCGCCCAGACGTTTGCAGGGGGGCACCAAAAAAAAAAAAAACGGAGATAGAGGGACGGAAATCGTGCGGGTGCAAGAGAAGGAGTCAGGAGGCAATGGGATGCGTCTGTGCACATGGACACAGCGACTGTGCAGCGTTGTCGCCTAAATGTGCCGGGGCCGCCTCTCGCTCGCTAGCTCGCGCAGCTTCCAGCTGTAAGCCCTCTTCTGCATTTACCGCTCATGGCTGTACGTGTGCTTCGTAAGGCCCAGGACGTTGTGTGGCCACCGGGTGGGGAGTCTCGCGCCAGATGGCGCGGCCCGCAAAACCGCTGCAACGGGATCCGCCCGGAGGGGATCAACCGCGGCAGCCGGTGGGCCCGCACCGCAGAGCGGCGCAGGCTTTTACTGCAGCGTAGGTCTCCCTGCGCGAGGCACTTGCTGCCTTTGGGGTGTACGGGCGAGGGACTTTGGCTCGGGACCCGCATGCATGCGGCGCCCCGTTGAGCGGCAGAAGCATCTTGTGTCGCGCGGCTGCGTGTGTTGCCCCGCAATGGGTTTGCTTGCGCAACGGCGGCGGCGACGACGACGACAACGGCACTCCGGCGACGCGCTGCGGCGTCGTGTCGCGTGTGGCAAAGAGCCCCATGGGTCTCATCACTCTCGGTCATGGGAACGGGCACGGATATGCACTACTTGGGTCCCTCCGTGCGTGCGTGCATGCATGTATGTACGTATGTATGTATGTATGTCCGCGGAGCCGTGGTGGACATCCTTGCAGGCCTTCTCTCGCCTCAAGTTCTCTCCCCCGGTGTAGACGAGCGGCTTGCGGTGATGCCCTGAGGGTCCGCTCGCTATTACAGAGGATGGTAGGCACTGCCTCACAGAGGCGTGGGCGGCATCAGCGCTACTATCTAACGCGTTCTCCGTTGGGTCGTCAATGGGTGCACTCAGATTTCCCGAGTTACATAAGAAATTTGTCATCAATTGCTGCCAGTGTACCGCGCTCTCTTGGATCATGTTGTTGAACCGCAGGAGGGACGGATTGCAGCCCTCCGCAGCCTGCCACGTTCCTTCCTGCTGGTCTGCGTGGGCATGAAGAGAGGAGAGGTGCGTCAAGGAGTGCAGGACACAACAAGAGGTGCAAGTCCCCGCTCCTTCTGCCGCGTTGGTCAGTGCCGTATAACAGCAAT